GGTATGCATGCCAAATTCCAGGAAATTCAATAGCCTCTCTAACTCTTCCCAGGATTCTCTTTTTCTCCATCAACTTGACAAACAGGAGTAAGAAAAACGTATTCAGTATTTACATAAGCATACATATGCATATATAGACACATATCTCTGTGACTATACACATATGTACATGTGTATGAAACTCCGACGAAACAGTTTGTCACAGCCCCTCGTTTGTTGTCCTCTTCTCCCTCTCTGCCTACGGTTTACCGGGCAGTTCTATTTGACGATATATATACATATATACGTATATATTGTCGCAGGGAAGTACCTTGTGAACCAGAAATGCAGAGGAAGAGGACAAAACATGGGGAGCTATGAAACACTGCATACATATACATACATGCATACACACACTCACACACACACAAGAGAGAGAGAGAGAGAGAGAGAGAGAGAGAGAGAGAGAGAGAGAGAGAGAGAGAGAGAGAGAGAGAGAGAGAGAGAGGAATGCAGAACGAGAAAAGAGGGAACATGACGGATGCAGTCACCTAGGCTACCGTTCAAGCGGTACATACACACAGACTGAACACATGATCTAATCCCACTCTGACTAGTTTCACTCACAGCAGCTTCGATGAGAACTGGCTATGGTAGAGAACACTACAGTTCCGATCTAAGCTGTCTGTTAGGTGTTAGCAGTCTGTCCACCAACTAATCAAAATAAAAATAAATCATGAAACACTGCATACATATACATACATGCATACACACACACACAAGAGAGAGAGAGAGAGAGAACCAGCTCCGATACCAAATTGCAAGGAATATGAGTGAGAGCGATAAACAGAAAACCAAGTTGCAAAATCACGCAGAAGTCCACATAGGCACCAAGATTCCATCCAAATAAGAGAGATACAATGAACTCGTGAGCCAATGTCCAAGCCCTCAGGCCAGACCAACGCAGTATTCAATGTCGCTCCTACTGTATGGCGCCCAGCGCCCAGCCTACTCTACTCAGCCTATCTACCCTATCTACATTCGTGCAACGGGCTCACTTCGCCGTCGAAGACCAATGTACATGACGTCAACACCAATGCCGACCTCCCACATACACCAGGTACGTTCTCTCGTCTCCACTCATCAGACCCTGTCCACCAACTCATGCACCTCCTTCCTGACGACCACCAATATTGTGATTTTGTGTTGTCGCCCATCACCTGCCCGTGCCCCTGCAGCCCGGCTATGGCCGCTAAGCTGCCCTGCTGCCCTGCAGCGCCCCACTTCACCTCATAGCGCCCGCACGTGCCCCAGCCAGCTGCGCTAATGCAGACACTTGCACAGCGTCGCAACAGCGTGTCCGCATTGCCTGCCTAAGCCAGAATACCTTCCCCTGGCCGGCCTCCTCCCTGTATGGGAGTAGCTGCCCTGCTGGGCTGCCTGGGCCTGGTCGAGGAAGTTTCCAGTAGCTTCCGGTCGGGCCCCAGTGTCTGCGCCCAGGCCCATTCCTACAGTTAAGGGCCTGGGCCCTCTTCAGTTGGGCACCTCCAGGATGCCTCCAGGCTCCAAGTGTTTGCCGCGTTTGCATTGGCCCGCGGGGTGGGTGTGACGACAATGCTGCATTCTCATTGGCCTGCGGCCACTTCGTGATGTGTCGGCCTCACACTGCGTGTGCCCAGGGCGCAACCACCTGCGTCCTGGGCTCAACTGCTTGACGCCGCTGCTGCTTCTGGAAAGAGCCCAGGGAGAGGCCCAGGTAGCACTTCAACCAACTGGCTTGCAGCAACTGTCTGATACCCACATTGAAAAATGCTGAGATAAGGGCCTCTCGTGGATATTCAGGCCTGCCTTCACTTAGGGCGGGCACGAGGCTTGCTGGGGGCCACATTCCAGAACATATGCATGTTGGCTAGGGCCCCATGAGGACACGTTCCTCACACCTCCATCATCAGACATTGGTCATTTCCACTTGGTATCATTAAGAAACATCAAATCCCCTTCATTTCCTTGCATTCACCTTGCCTACTCTGGTCTCGGGACCTTGTGTTCATTGCCGCCGCATTTCCTGGGAGAGCTATGCCAGTGCTGCATTCCTGGGATTATTTCCTTGGATTCTTTCAATTCTTTCCTTGGGATGCTTGGGATTCCGTAAACAGTTTCCTTGGGACTCCTTCCGGGGAGTGCTTGCATGGCGTCTTCCATTTGGGTACCCTCTGAACCAGCGTCAGAAGCAAAGTAGGTTTATTTACCCAGAGGGCTATGTGACTGGTTATGCAGTTCACAGCTTCACATCACTCTTCCATACTGTCGGGGAAGACAGCGGTGTGTCATATGTTTAGACTCACATTTTTTTGACAATTCAGCAGATAAAGCTGGGATCTAAACTCATGTTTTTTTTGGTCACAAGGCGCCTTCAAGAACCCACCGAAGAGCTCAGGTTTCTTGATGACTCTTTGCTGTAATTGAACTTGGGACTAAACGGGTGGTTCTGGAGATTCTGTCCAACACAGCAACCATCATGTCAAACATTGAGATCATGAAGAACTGTGCGAAAGAAACACATTCACAATCGCAAAATTTGACCCTTAGTGTTAGGTTATACACATTTAGACTATAAAATCCATCCGAAAGCCTTGATTCAGTCCGCTGCAACATGCTGGTATGCATGCCAAATTCCAGGAAATTCAATAGCCTCTCTAACTCTTCCCAGGATTCTCTTTTTCTCCATCAACTTGACAAACAGGAGT